AGGAAGGCAACTGATTTTTGTGGGTTTATTTTGTATCCTGCTATTTTTCGAAGTGACTTATGATTTCTAAAAGTTTGGGGATGGAGTTTTTGGGATCGTGGAGGTATAGTATCATGTTTTCTGCAAAAAGGGATAGTTTAACTTCTTCTTTCCCTATGCGGATCCCTTCTAATGCATTCTTAATATCCTAATTCCTCTCCTGGGTTTGTTTTGTTTTCTTTTCTCTCTCAGGGCTAGGAACCAGGAAAAGCATCTGGCTGTTTATCCAGCTCTGATGTGATTGTAGCCAGCTCCAAGTTTACATCCATGAGTCCCAGCTCCAATCATTCTTCCTAAAAAGAGCCAGGAGGATAAAAAAAATGATATCTCTGGAAACTTCAGTGGGAATGTTACAGAGACATTTCTCTTCCACAGAGGACCCAGAAAGAAGGAAAACAGGTAAACAGGTAACCCCATTCATGAGTCCCAAGGCAGAGAATTCCAGGTCAGGCTCCTTAGGATTGCAATCTGCCACAAAGGCAGCTCAGTCTGGGATGGAGGGAGGGAATGTTGGATCTGGGATGTGTGACTTGAGTTGGGGTAACATTTTTGTGGCTAGAAATAGATGAGAAGTGAGTTGGAGGGGGAGTGTGTTTCTATTGCTTGCTTCCTCCTCTTTCTTCTTCCTTCTTCTTCCTCATCCTCCTCTTCCCTCTTCTTCCTCTTTTTCTCTTTCCCAGATTAGTTGGTACCTAACTTCAATTGAACTGGGGCAGGATTGCAAATAAGCATCATAATCTTGCGATATATACTGCAACCCTTGCAGAATTTGTCCTGAAGCAGGGTTAGGTGGCTCATGCTACTGCTTAAGGCCAGTCCAGGCAGGAAAAGTCTGTGAGGCTCTAATTAAGCAGCAAAAGCCAGAAGCAGAGGTGTGGCTTAAGAGATAGAGTGCCAGCCTGAAGTTAAAAATAAACAAATAACTAAGGACAGTGCATAGGTCCTGAGTTCAAGGGCCCGTACTTGCGCACACACATGCACCCACACACCCACACACAAGTCTGCAAAACTAGGAAGAGCTTTTGGCTGGTAAGTCTTTTGTAATTACTAAAACATGTATGAATCTAGAGAATGCATTCGGCTGAATTCCTGCCACAAGCAAATCCCAGCTTCAGAGGATACTCATATAGCTTTGGAGAGAATACTTCTTTGTTTTGTTTTTCTTCAGCAAAGAGAATTATGTGAAAAATCTGAAACAGAGCTCTGACTTTTTTTTTTTCCTTTAGGTTTGGATCAGTTGCCAGAATGGGAAATTTCTGTATTTTGAAAAAGTCCATTTTGCTGTCCTAGCAAAAACTAGATTGTCAGCAAGTTCCCCCTTTATCAAACATGGCAAACCCTAGTGCAAAGGGTAATGCTTATACAATAGGTTTCATACATTCAGCCTGTCATTTCTTTCTTCTTTGTTTTGTCTGTGTGCCAGTCCTAGGGCTTGAAATCAATGCCTGCATTTGGTCTCTGAACTTTGGTGCTGAAAACTGGCACTCTATCTCTTGAACCACACCTCTATTTGTATCTTTTTGCTGGATCATTGCAGATAAGAGTCCCATCGACTTTCCTGCCTGGGCTGGCTGTAAGCTATGATCCTTAGAGCTCATCCTCCTGAATAGCTGGGATGACAGATGTGAGCCATGGGTACCTGACTTCTTTGTTCTTTTAGGAGACAATTTTCCTCTTTTCTAACAAAATTTGAGGGTGACTGTGTTCTGAGGATAGAATGAGAGGCACAGGAATTTGGAAAGGAAGATAAATCTACCCAAACTAACAACAGCAGAAGAAAAATAAACATACACTTAGTGTGTATCAAGTGAAAATGAAAAAACAACAACCCATAATGCCAGATATACATATCCGGTTACTCTGTTATAAAGGCAAAGAATGACACTTAAGTTAGTGGCTCATTCCTGTCATTCTAGCTACTCAGGAGGCTGAGATCTGAGGATCATCGTTTAAAGCCAGCTCAGGTGGGGAAGTCATGAGACTCACCTCCAGTAAATCACCAACTATCTGGGCTCAAAGCCTGGCTGTAGAGGTCAAGCAGCAAACCTGAGCAAAAAAAGATTGTGGCTCAAGGCACTAGTATACAGAGAGAGAGAGAGAGAGAGAGAGAGGAAGAGAGAGAGAGGGAGGGGGAGAGGGAGAGAGAGAGAGAGAGGGAGAGGAAGAGAGAGAGAGGAAGAGAAAGAGAGTAAAGCTAGCAGAAAATTGTGAGTGAAGCAGTTAAATAATCACCTGTTGATCTCTTGAAGGAAGTCTCAGTAGTAAATTTAGTTATTTTGGTCAGATTCTCAAAAAAAAAAAAAAACAAGGTGTTGGGCTTTTTTTCTTCCTCATGCTCTAGTGCTTGCTTTAAACTGAGAGGCAGAAATCCAGCAAACATAGGGAGGGGCTAGAGTAAGTACAAAAGAAATTGCAGGAAGCATCTGTGTGCAGGCAGAGGTGCCCATGACTTTTGGGTAAATGTGGAAGGTAACTGGTGAAGAGGGTAAACAGGCATACTTGCTGAGTAATGTCCTTAAATGGTTGGGCCATTGGTGTTTCCAGAAAGAATGCATGCAAGTTCCATTCCAGCTGGAGTCCCTGTGTGTTTGGTTTAATGTTACAATGAAATACTTTCATTAAGATTACTCCCTGTGTTTATATATATATATATATATATATATATATATATATATATATAAACACAGGGAGTAATATATATATATATATATACACATATATATAGTATAACATGAATCATAACATATCATACACATGTTTTATGCTATATATCATACTAAATAATATAGTATTTATGTAGGATATCTATCAACCTTATATAGTACATTATATATCACCTATTTTATATACTATAGCATATAGTATATATGCTATGATATACAGTATATATACTTTATATTATGATATAAATATAGCATCATATAGTATATATATGATGAATATGTTATATATCATACATAGATTATATATTTCGTATTGTACAATATATCTTATACTGTTATATTTTATATTGTTTTTAATTTTAATTTGTATTATTACATATATTTATATTTTATATTAAATATACTTCATATCATATAGTATAATATATAATAAATAGTAGATAGTATTGCTTTATATTATATCTTATATAAAATAATATGTATATTACCTAATTGATTATATTATTCTTTACATAATATATCTTTATTTTGGGGGAGGAGGGGTTCGGTCATGGGGACAGAACTCTGGGTCTGGGTGCTGTCCCTCAGCTCTTCAGCTCAAGACTAGCACTCTACCACTTGAGCCACAGCACCACTTCGGGCTTTTTTCCTTTTTGCTTATGTGGTGCTGGAGAATCAAACCCAGGGCCTCATGCATGCAAGGCAAGCGCTCTACCACTGAGCCACCCTCCCAACCCTACATAATATATCTTATATTGTAATGTTTATAAAATACAATAAGTATGTAAAATTGTAATATATAACATAATGTGCTTAAGTATGTATTATAAGAATATATGTAGTGTAATTTTGTATAGTGCAATGCAGTATGCACTCTTATATCATGTTATACACAGTATATATTAATGAGAACATATACTAGATAGTATGTCATATATTATGACATATTTATAGCAGCTATTATATATTATATGATCACGCTGGGGTTTGAACTCAGGGGCCGGGTGCTGTCCCTTGGCTTTGTCCCTCAAGGCTGGTGCTCTACCACTTGAGCCACAGTGCCACTTCTGGCCTTTGCTCTGTACCTGGTACTGAGGAATCAAATCCAGGGCTTCATGTAAGCGAGAACTGTCTACCTTCTATGTCTTTCATTAGATTCAAACCTCCTATTTCTATGTTTCCAGTGAAAGATCTCCCAGGAAAATGCCTAGGAATATTGTCACCCATCACACGCAGCAAATTTCACTGCTCTGTGCTCATTAATGTTGTTCTGCTTGCAACTGTACTTGGACTTCTTGCTGTGTTTTTGGCAGGTGAGTCGCTTCTGATGCAGAATGTGGGGTAGGCCTGGGGTCTGGGCAGGAAAGGAATGGTTGATGAGCAGCTAATCCATTTTCTCTGTGTTAGTGAACACAAGACAAAGCCGCATTCCCGAGACAAGGCTGTTTTCCTCTTGCCCAAGAGACTGGATTGCATTTGGGAATAAGTGTTATTATTTTTCTGATGATGTAACGAACTGGACGTACAGTCAGGCCTTCTGTGCATCCTTTGGTGCCAATCTGGTCAAGTTTGACAGCAAGGAGGAGTTGGTATGAAATGCTTTTGGGGCTCCTCTTTTCTGTGACATCTAAAAGACACCCCGAAATTAGACAGGTTGTGTAAGGTGAAAGCTAAAACAGAATGAAGGGGTCGTCCAGGGACTCACACCTATAATCCCAGCTCCTCAGGAGGTTGAGATCTGAGGATCGTGATTTCCAAGCCAACCTGTGGAAGACCTCAGTGAGACCCTTGTCTCTAGTTAACCAGCCAAAAAGAGCTGGAAGGAGAGCTGTGGCTCAAGTGTTAAAGCCTTGAACAAGGGAGCTCAAGGACAGGGCTGGGAATGTGGCTCAGTGATAGAGCACTAATCTTGAGCAAAAGCAGCTCAGGGACAGTGCCCAGGCCCTGTAAGCACCAGTACCAGTATATACATACACATGAAAAGAAAAAGGCAAAGAAATAATTCCACCTAATATATAGCTACTCAGGAGGTAAGAAGTGAGATCACAGTTCAAAGCCAGCCCCTGGCCTGGGGGAAAAGAAAAGGAAAAAGAAAATTATCTGAAAGATAAGGACTCATATTTTCAACTTACTGTGTTTGATTACAGAATTTCTTGGAAAGACACACAGATTCGTGTGACCGTTGGATTGGCCTTAGAAGAGAATCTCCACAGCATAGTTGGAAGTGGGCAGACAACACCGAGTTCAGCAACTTGTACGTATCAGCCATCTTTTTGTTTCTTTGTTTTGTGCCAGTCCTGGGGCTTGAACTCAGGGCCTGGGTGCTGTCCCTGAGCTTCTTTGGCTCAAGGCTAGCGCTCTAGCACTTGAACCACAGAGCCACTTCCAGCTTTTTCTGTGTATGTGTTTCTGAGGAATTGAACCCAGGGCTTCATGCATGGTAGACAAGCACTCTACCACTGAGCCACACTCTCAGCCCAAGTCTGTGAGACCCTCATCTCCCATTTACCACCAAAACACTAGAAGTGGAGCTGTAGCTTAAATGCTAGAGGGCAAAAGCTCAGGAACAGGGTGCAGGTCCTTGAGTTCAAACCTCTGGACCAATGCTCATACACACACAAAAACTAAAAACCAAAAGTCAGAATGGAGGTGCAAAAAATAGTGGCAAACCCAAGTACTGCTGGCTCAAGCCTAGAATCCCAGCTACTCAGGAGGCTGAGATCTGAGGATCACATTTCAAAGCCAGCTGGTGCAGGAAAGTCCGTGAGACTCTTATCTTCAGTGAACCACCGGAAGTGGAGCTGTGGCTCAAGCAGTACATCACTAGTCTTGAGAGCTGAAGAGCTCAATGCAATGCCCAGGCCCAGTTCAAGCCCCATGACCAACAATAATAATAATAATAATGGCAAAAAAACAAGTATAAACTGGGTGCCGATGTCTGACTCCCAGAATGCTAACCACTCAGGAGGCTGAGATCTGAGGTTTGAGTTTTTAGGACAGCCTGGACAGGAAAGTATGTGACACTCTTTCCCTCCAATGAACCACCAGAAAAAATAGAAATTGTGCTGTGGTTCAAGTGGTAGAGCACCTGCCTTGAGCAAAAGGAGCACAGGGACAGTGCTCTGGCCCTGAGTTCTAGCTCAGGGCTGGAAAAAAGGAAAAATATATAATATTCCAATATGAACATGTGCTATTTCTCTGCTTGTTTCTAGGGCTGAGTTGAGGGGAAGTGGGGAGTGTGCCTATCTGAAGGCAGTGTGTATGAAAGCAGAGGTCATCAGCAGCACGGACAGATACAGGAAGCTGAAGTGGATCTGCAGCAAGCCGAGCAGCTACGTGCAGTGTGCAGTGACCTCGGGGTCCTTTCTGCATGGGGTCTCCTGGCTGGGGCTCACGCCTCTCATCCTGGCTGAGTAGATACATATATGTGAATATATTGTATTAGAATATCTAAATATTCTGTGAAGAGGGAGAGAGAGAGAGGGGGATAGATAGATGGATGCTTATATTAAAATACTGCCCTACCTGGAGGAATGTGCACCCGGACAGGAAAGGGAAAACTGCCTTCTGCAGAAAGCCCCTGGGCCAGAGGCAGGAGTCAGCTCCCTTTTCATAGCTCATGTGGCAGGCCCTGCCTCTCGGCCACCATTGGTTAAGCTGGGGCCCCTCTGCTCCCATTGGCTGAGCTCAGGTTCACAAACTGCAGAAGAATGTAGCTTCATGACTTCTTAGCCATAAAGGAAGTAGAAGTATTCAAAAGTCCCCCAAGAGCCTTGGCCTCTATTGAGTACCATAGCGGGCAAGAAACAACAGGACTGTCACAAAGAGAAGCTTTACAATTTACTATATACACTTGCTGCATTGTTTTTGGTTTTCCTTTTTTGGGTGAGTTGCTGGTCCTAGAGCTTGAACTCAGGGCCTGGGCACTGTCTCTGGGCTTTATCACTCAGGGCTACCACTCTGCTGCTTGGAGCCACAGTTCTGCTTCAGCTTTTTGCTGGCTGTTTGGACATCAGAGTCTCCGATTTGTCTGCCCAGGCTGGCTTTGAAGTTCCATTCTCTGATCTCAGCCTCCTGAGTTGCTGAGAGCCACCCCCCACAGTGCCTGTCTAGTTGAAAACAAAATATCTGGGACTGGCTTTGAACCGTAATCCTCAGATTTCAGCCACCTCAATAGCCAGGATTACAGGCATGAGCCACCAGCAGCTACACTGTACTGATGATTCCCAACAGGCATAAAATAGCAAATTATAAAGCTTCTCTATATTGTAAAATAATTTGTATATAAATGCCTTTGTGGGCTGGGAATGTCGCTCAGTGGTAGCGCAGTTGCCTAGCATGCATGAAGCCCTGGGTTCGATTCCTCAGTACCATATACACAGAAAAAGTGGGAAAGGGTGCTGTAGCTCAAGTGGTAGAGCAGGAGCCTTGAGCAAAAGAAGCTCAGGGACAGTGTCCAGGCCCTGAGTTCAAACACCAGAACTGACGAAAGAGAAGAAGAAGAAGAAGAAGAGGAGGAGGAGGAGGAGGAGGAGGAGGAGGAGGAGGAGGAGGAAGGGGAGGAGAAAGAGGGAGAAGAAGGAGGAGGAGGAGGAGGAGGAGGAGGTATGATTCAGGCACATTCAATCCTGCCCATAGTACAATGCCAGAAATGCCAAGACACAGGAAGAAAAGGGACACAAGACAAACACATTATTGCCTGAGACTTGTCTAATGCTTCAAAAGTACATTTTATTTCCTAGTTAGATTCTCTGGTTCCATTAAAGTACACCAAATTTGCTTTATTTATTATTTATTGATTGTTCCAGCATGAGGCTTACACTCAGGGCCTGGGCACTGTCTCAGTGTTTTGTTCAAGGTTGGTGCTCTACCACTTGAGCCACAGCCCCACTTCCGGATTATTTTTGGGGGGTTAAATGGAGATTCCAATTACACAGGCCCAGCACTGGTAGTTCATACCTATCATCCCAGCTACTAGGAAGGCTGAGATTTGAGGACTGTGGTTCAAAGCTGGCTGGGGTAGGAAAATTCATAAGACTCTCATGGCCAATGAGCCTACAAAAAAGTGGTTCAAGTGGTACAGCAACAGCCTTGAGCAAAAAAAAAAAAAACTTGACAAGGGCTGGGACAGTGTCCAAGGTCCAGGACTGGCACAAAACAAATGAAAAGACTCTCAGGGACTTTCCCAACCTGGCTGGCTTTGGAATGTGGCCCTCAGCTACAAAAGACCTTGGCTGGTGTCTTTCTCCATTCTGGTTCTCTGGGTTCTGGGTTCTGGAGAAATCATTATCTCAGTTGAGAATGGGAGGGAGCCACTGGCTCCCATAGGAAGGACCCTGTGGCTTCCTGGTCCAGCCTGGCCCTTGTCCTCATTTGGGGGTGCTCTGCTGTCCCGTATGGCTCTACTGTTCCTCACAGGTCATTTCAGCCCCTTGTCAGAAAGATGTTTCCATCTGTTCTGTCTTCCCTGAACCCCAAACTCATTGTGGGAAACACTGTGGAGAAAACCATGAAAAACCTCAACTTGATGCAGAGCTGGGCGCCATGACTCATGTCTGTAATCCCTGCTTCACAGGAGACTGAGATCTGGTGACCGGGGTTCAAAGCCAACCTCGAGAGGGAAAGTCTATGACACTCTTCTTACCAATGAAACACCAGAAAACAGCAAGGAGAGCCGTGGCTCAAAGAGCAGAGTACCAGTGTTGAGCAGGGGAAAAAAAACACAAAACAAAAAACTAAGAAGCAGCATCCAGGCCCTGAGTTTAGGCTCTAGGACAAGCACCAAAAAAAACAGATAAGAAAGATAAAAAAATAAGTTAACAAAATGGAAGCAGAGAGGCCAGGCTTTGCCCCTGCTTCTAATTAATATATGGCCACACAAACAGATGAAGTATAAAGGATTGAGTCCTGTCTAATTCCCCAGGGTCAAGCAAAGCACCAGGTGTGTGCTCTCTGCAGGTGGCTCATTCCCACATGGGCCCCCAAGAGACAATCCACAGCCAGCATTCAACTGAGGGCCTGGCCAAGGTCATTGCCCTGCATCCCAAGACGACTGTTAGGAAAATGGGAGAGAATGCAAAAGGAATAGGCCAGACTCAATCATCAACCGGTGAGGACTGATTATTGAGATAGAACAGCAAGGGGCACAGACCTTCCCATAGGCTTGGAGGTGGTGCCTGAGAGTTGGGACAGGAGCTGGGTTTTTATAGGAGGCTCAAGCAAGGAGGCAGAGGTGAAGGAAAAAGCCACCAGGAAAAGTGTTAGGTTTTTAAAAAGAGGTAGCCAAGTAAGAACAGCACCACTCATGTGGTATTCAGGTAAGAGGTAGGTTTATGCTGTAAACCTGCTGGGACTAAGCCAGGTTGGCACTCCACGTGGCTATCAAAGACCTGGGAAAGAGAGCTGGGAAAGAACTGAGAAAGAGCTGGGAAAGAGAGCTGGAAAAAAAGAGGATATCTGGGTCTGTCCTAGGCCTTATCTAGGGTATGGGTGGAGAAAGGTGTGGCCACATCAAATTCAGATGTGACCTAAGCGGACCCAGAGGTGACCTCTTCCAGGTGTGCCAGTTGTCTAGGTAACGCAAGTACTGGATGGAGACTTTACTGCAAGGAGGGTGAAGTCTGCTCATCATCCAGAAGCAGACCTTCTAAAAAGGAAGGTGGGGGGGGCGTTTCAGTTGAGCTCACAATAGGATGTGTCCAGCTGGGCTTAAGTGGATTGTCCTGCCTTCACTTCAAAGGAGCTCACACATACCTGGGATTTTGCCCGGAGTCTGTATCGGCCTGGGACAATAGACTGGGGACAATCCTTCCTATTCCATCTTTAGATACATAACATGACCAGGCCAAGAGGAGAGAGGCAAGTTCTTCATATAGGATCTTTGGATACATAAGAAGAATTGGGCTAAGGGTGTTGCGTGGAGTTCTGAGAACAAAGCAGATTCCCATCATTTGGAACCCTGAAGGCGTATAAAATGTGGAGAGGCATCGTGGTCTTTTCTGGGCTACTTCCTGCTGTGGTATGGGGGTGTTGAGGAGTCACTGGGTCTGGGGTCTTCAGGGTCCAGGCCTACAGTCGGCAGGACAGTGTAAGCCAGGCCTCTGGTTGCCTGCAGTAATTGGATGGCCTAGACTTGCTCTCAGATCCTGAGTGAGGGCTGTTAGCCTGCTAGAGAGAAATTTGAAAACGCTGAGATCAGGTAAAAGGCTGACAAGATGGCAGGACTGGTGGATCTGAGTGACACAGGAAAACACACCCTGGGCACAAGCCAGAAATGTTCCATTTGGATCAGGAGCCCATAACCAGTAGGGCTGGATTGGATTAGCTAAGAGCCTGGTGAGAGACCTTGAATATTTCCTGTAAATAGCGGGTAACAAAGGCAAGAATGCGAATTCTTGTTCCTTTAGAAGTTAGACAGATATGGACACACTTCTCAACTTGTTTCTATTAGCCTCCTGGCTCTGGTGAAGTTTGAAAGGGCAGGCACAAAGTGGCTGATGTGACATCATCTCCTTTGACTCCTCTCCTCCTTGCCCTGGGGGTCTGGGTGATTTTTGCTGGGATCACTTGTCCCAGTGGCAATTACAGGCTTTGAAGTCAAGGCCTGGGCATTTTTCCTCGAACTCTTCTGTACGAGGCTAGCACCATACCACTTTGAGTCACAGGGCCACTTTTTGCAATTGGCATCGCTAAGGTCCTAATTAAAATGTGCCAGGAGTCAGGAAGGGAAAGACTCCTGGAGTCTCTGCAGACCCCACAGACAGTAAGGAAGGGCAGAGTCCCAGGGTCTGTATGGGCCTGGGAAAAAGCATGGGGGTCCATCCATCAGAGACCCTAGCCCAGTTTTTAATTCTCTGCCTATATAAGAACATCCCAAAATCCAGTCCCTGGCACAACCTCCAAACCTGTAGGAAGGTCTGTGCCCCTCACTATTCCTCAATCAACAGTCCTTGCCTGTGGGGGATCGAGTCCAGCCTATTCCTTTTCCCTTCTCCTCCATTTTCCCAACATGTGTGGCTGAAACCCGGGGAAGGAAAACACCAGGAATAACTGGGTTTCCTCCATCTGCCTCTCACCGAGCCATTCACCTTCTCTTTCCCAGATTTTCCTTCACTGTTTTTTTATTATTATTATTTATATTATGTTGTTGGTCGTGGGACTTGAACTCTGACCCTGGGCAGTGTCCCTCAGGTCTTCAGCTTAAGGGGAGCCCTCTACTGCTTGAGCCACAGCACCACTTCCAGTTTGCTGGTGGTTCATTGGAGATCAAAGTATCACAGACTTGCCTGTCTGGGCAGGCTTTGAACCACGATCCTCAGATCTCAGCCTCCTGAGGAGCTGGGATGACAGGCATGAGCCACTGGTGCCCTGCAAGGCTCTTCACTGTTTGATCAACTCCATCCAACATCCAAAAGCCT